AAGTAGGTGAAGTCTAATCATAAATTTATAGGAACTTTAACGAAAAGCTCCTAGTACTATTCACTTTAACGAAATACCATATTTTTACACTAAAAAAATCAATCATGGTACTATTCATTTTATCATTTATTTTGTCCTTATCGTTAAAACTCAAAGTTTTCAAGCATTTTTCATTAGTTTTTCTTAAATTTATTTGGGTTAATTGATGAGAAGGCTCACGTTACACCTCCAATTAATTTTTAATTTTTTTTAGGAAAACTAATTAAAAGGGTTTGAAAATTTTGAGTTTTAACGATAATGACAAAATAAAGGGTAAAGTAAATAGTAACATAATTAATTTTTTAATATAAAAATGTGATTTTTTTGTTAAATTGAACAATACCGAAAAATTTTCGTTAAAGTTTTTTTTTTTTTCCGCATGAGCCTGGCAAAAGTAAGGAAAGCGAAAGGTTGTAAATTTCAAAACGGAAATAATAACTGAGGCCCAAACGGCGTTAAGATGACAAAACCAGAAAGAAAATTAAAAGGCAGGGTCAATAAAGGAAAGTAGAAAACAGAGCGGCTTAGCGTTGGGAAGGCAAACCAGCAGCAGAGACACGCGGCACTAGACAATTGGGCGGAACCCCACATATATCCATTTGTAGTAGCCTGCATTTTTCAATGCTCTTTGCCTTATTCCGCAAGGAACACACACACCCGGCTCTCTCTCACTCACTCTCTCTCTCTCTCTCACGCATAGAAACCCCCCCCTCCCCTCTCTCTCTCTCTCTCTCTCTAAACTTCTGTTTATCTTGGTGAAAGCCATTAGTTAATAAAGTAGATCTGGGTTTGTATGGTTTCTATGTGATTTTCTTAGTTTTGTGTTTGTGGGTTTTACCTTTTGGTTTATGAGTCTGAGCGAGAAGAGGGTACATTTCTTAACTTGTGCTAATTTGTGGGTTTTATTTTGCTGTTATAATCAGAGTTTACTTGCTTCATACTTAATTTTACACTAAAAAATTCCCTTTTTTCTCCTAAAGAAAAAAATGAAGTATAATAGAGTTTACTTGTTTCATTTTTTTCGTTCTTGTCGAAGTAGTTTCATTTCTTCATTTCTGTCGATGATGAACTGCTGATCTATAATTCTGCACTCTTCTTCGCTGCTCAATCGGGCTTGATCCTATTATTTCTTAATTTAGTGCAACATTAAGGTGCAATTGTAGACATCGAAATTTCGGTAAATAAATGTTGACCGGTAAATCAAAGTGTCAACGCTCATGTATTACATAAATTTTACACGTAGCGTGTGACTCAACGAAAATTGAAATGAGTTGGAAAAGTCATCAAATAGGACATGTGTCAACACCTGGCAGAAACGACTTATTTCATCTGGAATATTATATTCAAAATTAGGCCTTGGAAAATTCTATAAATACAAGCCCATTCCATTCATTTGGGGAACCAATTCATATTACACCTTGAAGCTCTGAAACTCCAAAGCTCTCAAGCATCCAGGTTCCCGAAGAATCAAGAAAGCCTTTTTCGTTCTTCGTTCATCGTTCTTCCAAGATCAAGCCCCGACGGCCCTTGAAGAAAGTGTTCTTCGTTCATCGTTCTTCCAAGATCAAGCCCCAACGGCCCTTTGGATCAACAATCATCCACCAATTCAAGATCAAGCCCCGACGGCCCTTGAAGAAAGTGTTCTTCGTTCTTCGTTCATCGTTCTTCCAAGATCAAGCCCCGACGGCCCTTGAAGAAAGCACCATCGTTCATCATCCGTTCATCCAAGATCAAGCCCCAACGGCCCTTTGGATCAACAACGTCGACAAATCCACAAATCCAATTGTTCTTCAAGATCAAGCCCAAAACTCCTTGAAGATCCGTTCATCACTGTTCTTCAAGATCAAGCCCAAAAGCCCTTGGAGATCCGTTCATCACTGTTCTTCAAAGATCAAGCCCAAAAGCCCCTTTGAAGATCCGCTCAAATCCACCTTCAAGATCAAGTCCACGGCCCTTGAAGAACGTTCATCCTTAGATCAAGCCCAACGGCCCTTTGGATCAATCACACATCCACAAATACACACCTTACGGAGATCGAATCAGAGGATCAAAATAGAGAGAGATTGTAACCCAAAATCATCAAAAATACAAATATTTGTTTGTGCGCGTTCGTTCTTGTCTCTTTCGTTTCAGGAATTTTTCGTGTTCACAAATTGGCACGCCCAGTGGGACAATCTCTGCCTCTCATCTCTTTCTCCGTTCAAGAAATTCAAGCGCACTTCCAAAATTAATGGCATCAAGGAAGGCTCAATCTGTTCCCGCAACCGGCGCAAAGAACAAGAGCGTCCTCGTCGCAACTGGTGTCACTTTGGGCATCACGACTCGAAGCATGGCAAGAGCTACTTCTGCCGCCTCTTTCACCTCTGCATCAACTCTGCCAAAGGAACAAAAGCACCCAAGGCACGAGCCTTTGATCACCTTAGCCTCACTAAGGGCACCAAGGGGGGGAAGCCCAAGGAAATACTCCGAATCCATGCTCTCCGATGCCGATTCAAGCGGCAGTGCAGCCATGCAAGTTATGACCATTGGAGCAACTTCAATCGATGAGCAGCTGGCTCAGATGAATGAAGCAATCGCAAGGCTAACCCGAACTGTGGAAGAAAAAGACTTGCAAATTGCAGCACTCGTCAATCGACTAGAGGCGCAGGACGGCGATAAACCCGACCCAGAGAATGATCCACTAAAGAGAAGAGATGATGAAGAAGAAGAGCCTCAGGTGGAGAAAAACGATGCGAAGCCGGAGCCAGACCAAGCAGCGGCACTCATGGCATCTCTTTCTATCCAGCAGCTGCAGGAGATGATCACCAATACCATCAAGGCACAGTACGAAGGGAGCTCACATACCTCCTTGTTCTACTCGAAGCCCTATTCCAAGAAGATTGATGCCCTAAAGATGCCGAGGGGATATCAACCACCAAAGTTCATGCAGTTTGATGGAAAAGGAAACCCAAAGCAGCACATTGCACATTTCGTCGAAACTTGCAACAACGCGGGGACGGAGGGAGACTACCTCGCCAAGCAGTTTGTGCGCTCGCTGAAAGGAAACGCCTTTGAGTGGTACACGGACCTAGAGCCTGAGTCCATCAACAGCTGGGAACAGTTGGAAAGGGAATTCCTCAACCGCTTCTACAGCACCCGCCGCACTGTGAGCATGCTAGAGCTAACAAGCACAAAACAGTGGAAGGACGAGCCAGTCATTGACTACATCAACAGATGGCGCACTCTAAGCCTCGACTGTAAAGACAGGCTCTCGGAAACCTCTTCAATCGAGATGTGCATCCAAGGCATGCAATGGGGTTTGCAATACATCCTTCAAGGCATTAAACCACGGACTTTCGAGGAATTGGCCACTCGCGCCCATGACATGGAGTTGAGCATCGCCCATCATGGGAAGAAAGAATCGATCGCCGACTACAAGAACGACAAAGTTCTTGGGACAAAGGTGGAAAAGGCTGCATGGAAACCCACCAAGGAAGCGATGACGGTCAACACATCTCCCGTCAAAATATCCACACGAGGCAAGGCGATTCAAACCGAAGCTTTTCGTGATCAAGAGACACGTAGACGCACTTTGAAGGAGCTTGAGGAGAAGACTTATCCATTCCCCGACTCTGATGTGGTTGCCATGCTAGATGACCTGTTGGACAAGAAGGTGATCAGTTTGCCTGAGTGCAAACGGCCAGAAGAGATGAATCGCGCCGACAGTCCAAGGTACTGTAAATTCCACCGCTTCATCAGTCATCCGACAGAAAAATGTTTCGTGCTGAAAGATCTCATCATGAAGTTGGCTCAGAAAGGAATCATCGAGCTAGATCTTGACGAAGTGGCGAAGTCAAACTATACCACCTTCACTTCTGGCTCTTCCGACTCAAAGTTTTCACCTCAACCGCTGGGGGCATCCTCAAAGACAAGCAAAGTTGAAGGATGGACTCAAGTCACTCCTAAGAAATTGCACAAGAAGCATACGTTTCCTCCACAAGTCCGCCAATCGGAAAGGGGGCAAAGCAGCTATTGTCAACCTTCAAAGCAACGTGAACGTGTTGAAGATGATGAAATTGCGACACAAAGATCGTCCGTTGCCATCACGATGCGCGACTTCTTGCCCGAAGACTTCTTCAATCACACGGTCAAAGCTCCTTGCTATGAAAATTGTGAGGAACGCTTCTCCAAAATTGCTTGACAAATCTACCAAAAAAATTTCTCCTTGCCCGCACGAGTCTAAACTGCATGGCACAAAGCTCCTGGTCTGCACGAGCATAAAAGGCAACACCAATGGTCCTTGTTCGCACGAGCCTAAACTGCACGAACCAACGCTCCTGGTCTGCACGAGCATAAAAGGCAACACCAATGCTCCTTGCCTGCACGAGCTGAAACTGCAATACGGCACCAAATGCTCCTTGTCTGCACGAGTTGAAACTGCAAACGACACCAACACTCCTTGCCTGCATGAGTTAAAACTGCAAACGGCACAAAAAGAAAATACAAAAAATATGTATGTATTTGAACTACGTTATGACTTGATCTCTTCTTTGGAAGGGTACGTAGGCAACTCGAACGTTCAACTTCGAGTACAGTCACGTCAAAATAAAAATAAAAAAAATAAGGTTTTATTAAGTGTTTTGCTATTGAAAGTCAATATTATTACATTCTTTGTACGAAAAAAAATTACACATTGTTTGTAAAACAAAAAAACAAAAAAAAAACTACAGCTTAAAAAAAATAAATATATATATATATATATAGCCTCAGAAGCAGATCAAAACACATCTGCAATTCCAATAGGCCCAGGCCCAGAAGCCCACGTTCCTTGTCAACGAAAAGAAGACCTCATCCTCACCATCACCATCTTAAACTTCAGTTTCAAATCTCATGATCTCCACCACCGTTCTGCCGCCTGCTCACGAAGATGGATGCATCGAGGTTGCTGGTAGTTTAAAGGGGTTTCAAACCAGAAAGTCCCCATGGATGATTTTCCCGAGAAACCCACTTTAGAAATCGAATTTCACGAAAACCCAGTTGCATCAAAGCCCCTTCGCCACTCCGACGGCACGCTCCGATACGTCGGCGGCCACAACCGCGTCCTTGCCGTCGATTCCTCCATTACATGTACAGAGTTAGTGGAGAAGCTTAAGGAGTTCTGTGGCTACTCTGTGGAATTGAAGTGTCCATTGCCGAACGGAGATTTAGAGACCATGATTACCGTAAAGTCCGACGAGGATTTGGCGAATATCATCGAAGAGTACGGTCGAGCTTCTTCTCCGCTTCGTCCTCTGAAGATCAGAGCCATTCTCGCACCGCAGCACCCCGGACTCCACTCGTCACCTCCTATCTCAGCCGCTTAGTCCATTCCACCCTCCATTTTCCCAATTTCTCGGTCCCTCGCTCCGCCTACTTGTGCTTTGTCTGATGGTTGTGCTGTTACCGGAAGATTAGAGGGAGAAGGCAAAGCGAGCTGTAGAGTTGTTCTGATGCGCCACAAGTGTTATTCAACCAGTAACTTATGGGAATTAAGCACCTGAACTGAAGTGGAGAGAAGGTGCACCCAAAAATGGCTATTACTTTTTGTGGTTCAAATGGTAATTATATTAAAATTGATGGTGCTGGTTCGTCTGATGAGCTTGACTATCTTCCATTGATACAATGGCGCAATTTGTTACTCGTTGGAAGGCAAAATTTGAAGTCCCTCATTGGTGTTACGGTTAAAGAAGAAGATGAGCTCTCCAAGTCACAAATCCCTCACTTGATCAGCATTTACAACATGACTCTTGCAGCTTCTTTTGTTCATCTGGAGGTGGTATGAATGGCTTTGCTGGTTCTTCTGTGTTAGCAGTTCAAATGAAAAGTGAGATCTCTGATCACTCTACTTATGATCACCTGGACCACATTTCCCTCAAAGAGCGACAAAAGATGCTGCAATCAAGGAAACTCTTCGGGTTTGAAAAAGCACTTATTGAGGATATTCCAGGGCCACTATCAAAGGACCTTATGCAACAGCTTGCTTGTAAAGGACAGGCAGATACTAGTAGTGCCGGTGGAGAAGCTTTAGTGGCTACCAGTTCACTTCATGACAATTCAGGAAGAAATAGTTCAGTTGTTTGTAGAACTTCTATGATTAGTTCACCTCATAATGTCATTGTTGAAGCATTTTCTACAACCTATCAATATTCAGTTAATTCCAGTAAGTCCAATTATGGTGGAAAAGGTTCTGAAAGTGATAAGAAATGCTCATCTGAGAGAATGCCTCCTAATGCCACGGAGTTAAGTTCATGTGGGGGACAGGACTATCTGCCTACATGCACAAGTAGAAGGCATTGTTCAACCCCGTCAACATCTGTTAAAGTAAAGGATGAACCTTGGGATGACGGTGTCTTCCAAAATCAGGACAGAAATGCTGGGGGTAAGTTCTCCTTTGACATACTGCCCGTAAAGAATGAACCAAGAGTTTTCAATGAAATTAATGAAGAAGAGGAATCTCATCACTCGGCCCGACCACGACCCTTCATCTGAGCCATCAGACTCCGTAGTTCCTGCACCCGCCACAAGTCAGCAACCCAAACACCTTGAGCAGCTTGAAAGATCAGAGTCCTTGCTTGCTAAGCAAAAGCGTACTGCACCCATCATTGTCTGCCGCAAAAGGAGCTCCAGTTCGTTAAAACCTTCGGCGGCTGCTTCTAGCTTTGGTCAGACTCTCAAAAGAGATGAGAAGAAGAAAGCAGCAGCTCCGGCGAAGCCTAAAGTTGCAGCGAAGGAACAAGTGTTAAGGCTATGAACACTTGGTGATTTTCGTTGGCGGCGACGACGTCCTCCTCTGTTCTCCTCACCACTGCGCCGCTGCCTACAACTCCAGCTCTGCCACGAACAGGCAACCATCGTCACAACAACTGCAGTAGTCGCGAGCAGGACTCTTCATCACCATCTCTGCAGCTCAGTTCCAAGCAGCAACGGCGACGGCAAAGTCTCCGACATCAAGGCTGCACCACTCTTCTCTTGCGTGCTCCTCCGTCTCTTGCCTCGCAGCTGCCAACGACTTCAACGACCGCCGTCAAACGACTAGCCGGTCGTGAAGCTCGAAGCACCATCTTCTCCGTCCTCCCTGCTCTGCTCCTGCAGAAGTTCCTCTACCCTTCATCCAAATTTATATAAAAAAATATATAATAAAGAAAGGGGATGGTGGATCAAAGATAGGGAACAGCCCCATGGTAGATCAAAAGTTTCATGGTGCGTCTGGCACCATGTGCATAAATAAAAGAAAAAAAAAAAGGGAGAAATGATTTAAAAAGTAAAGGGAGCAGCAATGGTGATGAGGGGAAGCATCTTTCAAAGGCAAGAAGAAGAAATCGTGGTGGACAGCACCATGTGTTAAAAAAAAAAAAAAAAAGGGAGAAATGATTTAAAAAATAAAGGGAGCAGCAATGGTGATGAGGGGAAGCATCTTTCAAAGGCAATCCCAGCTGCCAATTGTTTAAAGTAGCAGATTGGAGGGATGAGACGGGAAGTTGGCCAACAGCTTCATTTTTGGAGATTACCATTACTAGCGGAAAAGCAAGCATAAGGAAGCATTCAAGGGGAGAGCATTTCGCTCTCACATAAAAAAAAAATATATATATATATATACCCATTTACAAATTCCATGTTCATTTAATATTATTTTGTGCAAAAAAATAAAAAATAAAAAATGCATTGAGAGAAATAAAGTCCATTTTATTTATTTTTCTGAAAATTTTACAGAAATATACATTTTTACATCCAGTCAAAAAAAAAAAAAAAAAAAAAAAAAAAAAAAAAGTCAAATCAAATCTACAGGAAGGGATTTTCAAGGACGATCAGGTAGCGCCTCACCACTCGGCAGAGCTCTAGGAAGAAGAGGCGCCAGAGGTTGACTGTTTGAAGCCTCATCACTCGGCGGAACTCCAGGAAGAAGAGGAGCCAGAGGTTGATCATGAGGAGCTTCATTACGCGGTACAGCCCTAGAAGACGAAGGCAAGTGCTGCTGGAACAAACCCACAAACCTCTGATGATCAAGTAAAATCTGACCATCAGATTCCTGCATCTGGTTAATCTTCCTCTTCATGTTTGTCGCATAGCTATGTGCGAGCTTATGCAACTGTTTGTTCTCCTGCTTGAGCCCTCTAATCTCCTGTTTGAGACTCATCACTTCAGCCGCCAATGATTCAACTTGACGGGTTCGAGCAAATAGGCGTTGGGCCATATTAGACACAGAACCTGCACACTGCACACTGAGAGCCAGAGAATCCTTAACAGCCAACTCATCAGACCGTTTGGAAAGTAGTCTGTTATCTCTGGGAGTGACAAGGTTCCGGGCCACCACCGCAGCGGTCATATCATTCTTCACCACTGAATCCCCAACGGTAAGAGGACCAGTAGGGGATATGAAGGATGGGCGCCATATGTTGTCTGGTGAAGGCGGAACTGCCTCTTCACCAAGATTCAAGTCAAAACGACGGTCGGAGGGTCCAGACATTTTCAAAGTGATGAAGGAAGAAGAGATCGGACAAATCAAGATCTTAGAAGTACAAGAGGGGAGTTTTCACAAGCGAAAATTCGAGTGTGCTTTGAAACGAACTGCATGCCTCTATAAAAATCAGCACTCGACGGGGTTTCAGAGATCGAATGGGCGAGCTCAGAATTTGAAGAGGCCATTCAAAAATCGAAGAGGCAAGCTCAGAAATCGGAGAAGCATCTTGCTTTTCCAGACACGTTGGCACCCGTCACACGCAAACTCAGCTTGCAAAAATCACGGGCAATTTGTCGAAGCGCCGATCCCAGATATCGAAGAGGCGCCAGTCTTTTTCAGCCGCGTCAACACCTGTCACATGCACACTCAGCTTGGCGGAAATTACGGACAATTTGTCGAAGATTTCTGATAAGGAAGAAAGCACGTGAAGCCATATAGATCAATCACGCATTGGTTGCCGACACGAGTGAAAGAATAGTACCTCTACAGGCATCAAAGAACTTCCTATAATTGTCTACATTCACCTTCCATAACGAGGCAGACATACAGAGCCTTTCTTCATCTCCAAAAAATGCTTTCCCTACGAAGCCTCTCGAGTCATTCAATGTTCCTTATTCCTTGGGGTACCTCTGCAAGCCAATGACTCCAAAGCAAAAGTATCTCATATCAGCAGGGTAGAAAGCAAGAGTATCTCATATCATGCGCTCTCCCTGTCCTTTCCTTTGTCCTTGTTCTTACCTACAAAGACAAGGATAAAGAAAACAATATGCCGGAACTTCCACTCAAACTCGGGTAAGGAACCGACTGCTTGGAACCCTTCCCTGATTGCCTACCTAGCACTGCTCTCGAGTACTCGCCTTCCAATGCTGCTGTACTTTCAAAAAAGCTGCCACATCTGCTTGGGGAACAGATAAGGCAAGTGAAAATGATACCTTGCAGCATGTGGAGACAAGGTGCGGAAGGAACAAGCAGAGAAGAATGCAGTCTGCATAATCAACTCAGCAGAAGGAGTCCGAACTGAGGAACTCGAGAAGCTGCCACATCTGCCTGAAGAAACAAGCAGAGAAGAATGCAGCATGCACAGTCAACTCAGCAGAAAGAGTCTGAGATGAAGAACTTGAGAAGATGCCGCATCTGCCTGAGGACGGTGAGCTTGTTTTGACCCTCAAATTCTTGGGTCGGCTTACTAGGCGTTGTGAGCTGCACGTGCTGATTCACCACCCTTGAATCGAATCCTTAAAGATCAAGTCACCAACTGGAAGAAGAGTTCATCAATCTTGAAGATCATGCCGTTGACCAAACTGCTCAGGTGTGAATTAGAAAGATTGAACAAAGAAACAGGTTGTCACCTTTACCTCGTGCCTGCTTGCCATGTGTTCGAGTCAACCTTCAAGAATCAAGCCTCAACGGCCCTTGAGGAAATCACAAGTCCGATTCAAGATTAAGTGTCTACCACCATTGAATCAAAACCTAGTTCAAGAATAAGCTGTGGAAAATCAACAATTGGAGGAATCCAGAAAATCCTTCAACCCAGTTCAAGATCAAAGCTGTGGAAAGTCAACAAGCGCAACAAAATACGTGCCGATTCACCCACTACCAAAGCCAAAGATCATCTACCACATGAAGCTCCTGGTGGTCCAATTTCAACCTTCAAGATCAAGTCTCGACGGCCCTTGAAGAAATTTCAAACAAAAGTTCAAGAACAAGCCTCAACGGCCCTTGAAGAAATCTCAAGCCTAATTCAAGATCAAGCCTCAACGGCCCTTGAAGAAATCTCCAGCCCAATTCAAGATCAAGCCTCGACGGCCCTTGGATCGACATCTACAGTAAGGGACTTCAAAACACATCTCCTACACGTGACAAGCACATGTATACGACGTGCCTTGAAGTGGGGGCATTTGTAGACATCGAAATTTCGGTAAATAAATGTTGACCGGTAAATCAAAGTGTCAACGCTCATGTATTACATAAATTTTACACGTAGCGTGTGACTCAACGAAAATTGAAATGAGTTGGAAAAGTCATCAAATAGGACATGTGTCAACACCTGGCAGAAACGACTTATTTCATCTGGAATATTATATTCAAAATTAGGCCTTGGAAAATTCTATAAATACAAGCCCATTCCATTCATTTGGGGAACCAATTCATATTACACCTTGAAGCTCTGAAACTCCAAAGCTCTCAAGCATCCAGGTTCCCGAAGAATCAAGAAAGCCTTTTTCGTTCTTCGTTCATCGTTCTTCCAAGATCAAGCCCCGACGGCCCTTGAAGAAAGTGTTCTTCGTTCATCGTTCTTCCAAGATCAAGCCCCAACGGCCCTTTGGATCAACAATCATCCACCAATTCAAGATCAAGCCCCGACGGCCCTTGAAGAAAGTGTTCTTCGTTCTTCGTTCATCGTTCTTCCAAGATCAAGCCCCGACGGCCCTTGAAGAAAGCACCATCGTTCATCATCCGTTCATCCAAGATCAAGCCCCAACGGCCCTTTTGGATCAACAACGTCGACAAATCCACAAATCCAATTGTTCTTCAAGATCAAGCCCAAAACTCCTTGAAGATCCGTTCATCACTGTTCTTCAAGATCAAGCCCAAAAGCCCTTGGAGATCCGTTCATCACTGTTCTTCAAAGATCAAGCCCAAAAGCCCCTTTGAAGATCCGCTCAAATCCACCTTCAAGATCAAGTCCACGGCCCTTGAAGAACGTTCATCCTTAGATCAAGCCCAACGGCCCTTTGGATCAATCACACATCCACAAATACACACCTTACGGAGATCGAATCAGATGATCAAAATAGAGAGAGATTGTAACCCAAAATCATCAAAAATACAAATATTTGTTTGTGCGCGTTCGTTCTTGTCTCTTTCGTTTCAGGAATTTTTCGTGTTCACAGCAATCTTTTTTCTAAAGGCTGTTTCTTTTCTTTCTTTTTTTATTTAAAAGTGTGTTTGTAGTTTGTACAACAGATCTGCTCGGTGGTGGAGCAATATTTTTAAAGGTTTGTTTTTCCCTTGCTTTCGTAGGGTTTTTGGTTATATGTAGCTTGTTTTTCTTCTTTCTTTGTTCTTGTCTGCATTTCCGCCAGAAACCACCGTTTCTTTGTGATGCAATGTTCTTTGGCTGGCTTTAGATTTGAGTATTAGATGAATTGTTTCTTTTCTTTATCTATTTTCTTGTTTGTATTGAGATTTTCAGTCTTGAAAAATATTGAGGGCCTGTTTGATAACCATTTCAATTTTTTTCATTTTTCATTTTTCTGAAAATTGAAATCTATAAGCAGTCATTTAATAAATTAAAAAAAAAAAAAAAAAAAAAGTGAACGCAAAAACTGAAACTGAAACTGAGAATGGAATAATTATCAAAAGACCCCCAAGTGTTTTAAGTTTTTTGCTTTTATATCAGAAACAAATGATGAGGTAATGGACTCTTTAAAAAATGAAAATTACCATTTCTTAGCAATCAATAAATTAACAGATTAAGATTATACTTTGAAGAATGCTTGAGTATGATCCAAAATGCAATTTATTTGTTATTTAAATCCTTGAAACCATCATCTTATTCCTTTGCTGTGCATGAATTGGTTATTTCAGTTCTCGTCTTCGTTTCTTTGCTGTTGTATGTATTCTCCCTGATTTAGTTTTTAGTGCTTTCCATGTGTATTCCTCCTGATGAGTTAGTGGCAGGACAATTGTTTTGGAAGAGAAACTGGCTCAAGTTTGAATTTGGTAGAGATGTATCTCTTTGTTACCTGCAGTTTACACCTACATTGCTTATCAATTGCGGGGTTGGCAGGTATAAGGTAATGGAGTCTTCCGATCCCAAAGGAGCTGAGCTTCATCCTCCTCCCGCCATTATTCCTCCAAAAGTTGTCCCAACTGTGGCAGAAGGAAAATCTGTTGAAGTGTTTAAGAAACCATCGACTTCTAAACTTGTTCCCATGTCAAGGCCAGGCTTTGGATCTAGAGGAAAAAACATCCAACTAACAACTAACCATTTCAAAGTGGGAGTGAAAATTTCGGATGGCTACTTTTTCCATTATAGTGTAACTTGCTCGTCCCTACCTATCTTAATTAGCATCTATTTTGCAGCTTAATGTTTGTATAATGTATTGATGTTAGATATGTTGTTAGTACAGATTGACATGTTTTATGAGGATGGAACCCCAGTTACAGCGAACGCTATTGGACGCAAAGTTGTTGAAAAAGTTAAAGAGACATATGACAGGGATCTAGGACGAAAAGAATTTGCTTATGATGGACAGAAGAACTTGTTTACTGTTGGCTCTCTCCCTCATAAAAGACTCGACTTTGTGGTAGTATTGGACAACATCTCGTCAAGCAGGTACTGATTTGTGGATGATCATGTTGAATTTATCTTGCTCTCATTTTCTCTTGAGATCATTGGCTCAGTGGCTATTTTTCACACACTAGGCGAATTGGGAATGTTGGAGGTAGTAGTAGTTACGACCCAGCTGAGAGTGGAAGCGATAGGAAGAGACTTAAGCATTCATTTCAATCCAAAACAATAAAGGTGCTGATAAATTATGCTACTAAAATCCCAATGCAAGCGATCGTAAATGGATCACGAGGTCAGGATTCAAAGGAGTTTCAGGAAGCAGTTAGAGTTCTGGACATCATTCTAAGGCAGCATGCAGTAAAGCAGTAAGTAGTTGAATGTTGTATCTTTCCCTCGATCAGTCTTCCCTTGTTGGTTCATCATACACTGTTTCTGTCCAGGGGTTGTCTCCTTGTCCGACAGTCTTTCTTCCGTAACAATCCAAGGAATCCAGACTTGGGAGAAGGCTTGTCAGGCTGCTCGGGCTTCCATTCAAGTTTCCGAGCTACCCAAGCGGGTCTTTCCCTGAACATGGGTAAATTTCTAAGCTTTCATTTGTTCTCTGTCATTTTACTGCCACATTAATCACTATCCCTGCCTGAATGCAGATGTATCCACTACAGTGATCATAAAACCAGGTCCCGTTTTGAACTTCCTCTTGGAGAACCAAAAAGTTAATCACCTTCGCCATATTGATTGGATCAAGGTACTTAAAAGTGATTTCATACAGTATTGGCATTGCATTGATATGACTTCATTCATGAGTCTTAGGCTCTGAGCTTCTTTATTTGATCATAGGCTAAAAGGACGCTAAAAAATCTACGGATCAGGATCGAATCCTCTGGTATGGAGTACAAAATCACTGGATTGAGTGACGATTCCTGCAAAGAGCAGACGTAAGTTCTTTCAGTGCATTACCAATGCCATCTAAACATCATCTCAAGTTCTTGTATTCTAATATGTATGAACCTGTTTATCTGAAATATTTCACCATGTTTTCTCTATGTGAAGGTTTTTTCTAAAAAAGAGTAAAGGACAAGATGGTGACGGAGAAGAAGTTACTGTTTATGACTACTTTGTTCGCCATAAACACATACCTGTACGTGAGTCAGCAGATTTTCCATGCATCAATGTTGGGAAAGCAAAGCGGCCATCTTTCTTTCCACTTGAGGTGATACATTAACTTCAAATGATAACTACTATGGTTAATATTGGAATTATTTTTCATGCTCCTTTGCCTGTATAGCTTTGTACCTTGGTTCCATTGCAACGCTATACCAAAGCCTTGTCCACTAAGCAAAGGTCTACACTAGTGGGGGAGTCCCGGCAGAAGCCCCAGGAGCGGATTTCAGTTTTGCAACGTGTGAGTTATTTCTCTCCATGTGTTATAGTTTAAACTTTGAAATTTTGAATCTAACACTTTCTTTCGTCTCATATGTTATATTCTTGCAGGAGCTGAGAAGTAGTAACTACAATGCTGACCGGATGCTTCAATCTTCTGGAATATCAATCAGTCCTGAATTTATGCAGGTTGAAGGCCGTGTGCTGTCAGCCCCAAGGGTAAAAATTTTGGATCCTTTCTTTTCATGTCGCTACTATTATTTTATTGATGTATGTCCTTTTTATCATCTCTCTTTTGTTGCAGTTAAAAGTGGGCAATGGGAATGATTTTTTCCCCCGGAATGGGCGCTGGAATTTCAGCAATATGGTGCTCTTCTTTTCTTGTGCTTTCTTGTTTCACCACTTTCAAATTCTGAATTTCTTGTACTGAATTTAGCTTGCTTACCTGCATGTAGAGTTTTGTGGAACCGGTAAAAATTGAGACGTGGGCAATTGTCAACTTCTCTGATTTCCGTGACATTGATTTCCTGATCAAAACTATGTTGAAGTGTGGAGATATGAGAGGAATTGTGAGATTTTCCCTTTCCTCTGAATTATATTATGAGATCTACTCCAGGCTGTACATCTGATCCCTTAATTCTTTGTTCTAAACATTTTTTGTTGTTTTTCGGTAGGCCATACATCCTCCAAGTCATGTATTTCAAGAGAAAAATCAGCATAAGCGCGAGCCAGCTGCGGTCCGAGTGGACAAGGTGTTTGAAGAAAGAGGATTGAGAATTAAGAAAGAAATACCAAAGCTTCTGCTGTGTATTCTTCCTGAGAGGAATAACATATATGGTCACAATCAGATCACAATTTTTTTTTTCATCTATTTATTGTTTTCACATTTTAGTTTGGGAGTATATATTCTGTACTAACAATTCCTTACACTTAAGGTCCATGGAAAAGGAAATGTCTCTCCGAGGTCGGGGTTATAACACAGTGCATTATCTGGAAGGGTAAAAGGATGAATGATCAGTATATCACAAATGTGCTCCTCAAAATCAATGCTAAGGTATTTGTGGAAATTGGCTCTTGTCATCTCGTCTATGGTTTGGTTTTAGTTATTAGTCATGCCTTAATCTTATTGTCTTAATGTCGCATATGCAGCTTGGTGGAATGAACACCTATCTAACAGCGGAGTATTCTCGTTCTATACCTATGGCTTCCAGGTCTCCTACTATGATTTTGGGTATGGATGTGTCCCATGGCTCACCTGGGCGGTCAGATGTTCCTTCTATTGCAGTGGTAACCATTTCAACCTCTAAACTGATTTTTTTTTTTTTTTCAATCATGTCACCCGGGAAGTTTGCTGCTGTATCATGTCATGTGCATTTGTTGATGCATACCTCTTTACATATTGTAAGTTGGAGGTTTGTAGGTGGTTGGTTCGAGGAAATGGCCCTCAATTTCTCATTATCGCGCCTCAGTTCGTACTCAATCACCGAAAGTAGAAATGATTGCTTCTCTGTTCAAGCCTGTGTCAGAAAAAGATGATGAGGGCATAATCAGGTTGGCCTCTCCCACCACTTACATTGACCTCGCCACTTTAATATTTTTGCATCCAGTTATCTGTTATCTGATTATTTAAAACTTACTTCTGGTGTACTTGTTTCATTCAATTCTGTAACATATGTGCTCTTTTCAGGGAACTGCTACTAGACTTTTATCGTTCATCAAACAGCTGTAAGCCGGCTCAGATAATAATTTTCAGGTGTAGTATTATTCATAAGAGTTATGCCACATATGTAGGGAGTTATAAAATTCATTTTGATTATGCCCTTGATCGTCACCAGCGAACTATTGCGAGTCCTTTTTTGTACTTTAAATAAAAAGCTAGAAAATTTTCTTGAGGTATAGTAGTATCGTTATATTGACATTTTACAACAATTATTCTGACATATATAATCACAGATCTACAACTGCAGGCTCTCTGTGGTATTGTTCTTTGCCTGTTTAGGCAATGTCCTACAACAATGAGTAGAGAAATAAAATAAAATTTTGTTAATGTTCTCTGTGATTAAGTGTAAGAGTTGTTATGCGTTTCATCCTTATATCCAATTTTTATTAGTATCATATCTTGAAAGGTTAGCATCTCAAGCGATCGGTGTTGATGACATCCCATTCCCATTTAAATGAATCTTCAAATTAGCTCTGGTTCATATTTGTCTAACAATGTTGAATCATTCATTGAATAGTTTCACAAAGGTCATGTACAATTCCTGCTGAACTTGTTTTGGTTTTCTTTTGCTTAGGGATGGAACGAGCGAATCACAGTTCGACCAAGTCTTGAATGATGAAATGAGCCAGATCATTCAGGTCTCTCTTGGTCAATTTAAATTTTCTTTCTAATTCTTTCCTGGAAATAGAAGATGTTCATATCTAAATTTTGTTATATCTATAAATACGTATTTCAGGCCTGCAAGTTTCTTGATGAGGGGTGGTCTCCAAAGTTCATGGTAATTGTAGCACAAAAGAATCACCATACAAAATTCTTCCAGACCGGTTCTCCTCATAATGTTCCACCGGGTTAGTCATTTTCCCATCGCTGCATGAATTTTTGAACAGAAAACCAGAAGGAAATGCACTTTCAGTAATTGTCCCATAATCAGAAGTTTCCTTTCATAACTTGAATGCAGGGACTATCATTGACAGAACAGTTTGTCATCCAACTAACAATGATTTCTACCTGTGTGCTCATGCTGGGATGATTGTGAGTATTCTTAAGAACCCGTTGCTCTTCTTATGGAAGATAATATACCTCAGCAGATAAACTAGAGAATGTGTTTCCTGCGATGCAAGTTGGTCGTCCCCAGAACGATTTTTATCTGCTAATTTAATGGAATCAAGAAATTTTAACTTATGTCTAATAATTTGTTTAGTGGATTATGTTTATCTACTGTAACCAGCACATATTATTGCTTGTCTACTCGACATTGTTCTGCGTTTTGGATTGTTTTACTCCGTATAACTATCTGATTGAGCTACGTTGAAGAGAAAACATTCAGTCGACTTTGGATTGTTGATGTAGGGGACTACACGACCTACTCATTATCATGTTCTACTTGATCAACTTGGCTATTCAGCAGATGACTTGCAAGAACTTGTTCACTCTTTATCGTATGTGTAAGTATACTCATATTCTCGTTTTGCGTAAAAAATCTTTGAAGTCGGGAAAAATAGGTTCTGGTTATGTTTTCCGAAGTATGAGTTTGCTTCAGACCTGAAACCCTGCTATAATTTATATACAGGTTCCAAAGGAGTACCACAGCCATATCAGTAGGTAATATATTCTCTTCCGGTTATTTTTCCCTACTTTTTTTCTGCTTGGTGTATGATGAAGTTGTTGGTGGTTGCTGTTTTCTCTTTACTACAGTTGCTCCGATACGCTATGCTCATCTGGCAGCCGCTCAGATGTCGCAGTTCATTGACTTCGATGAAATGTCGGAGACTTCCTCAAGCCGAGGTGGTAGTGTTACAGTAGCTGGTGGTGTGGCGGTGCCTGAATTACCAAAGCTGCATGAAGATGTCAAGAACTACATGTTCTTTTGTTGAAGATATTTTGGCCTTACAATAGCATATGAACTCGTGTGATATTTATGTTCAGATACTATTTCGGAAACTACTTGTGCCATTTATGTTTGACGTTCTTTACTTTCGTAAATTTCCAGACAAACAAACATTCAGAATTTGTCCCTCTGATACTTGTCATATATGTCTTTGATTAAGAAGACTGGTGCACCATACGCGAGCTTTGCTCAATTAATTAAATCTCAACCGTTCACTTGTGAAGAAAAAATGTGCAAGTGAAAGTTTCTGACAGTTAGCTGTTTTCTCTTTACCACAGTCGAACCAGTACGCTGCGGCCATATTGGTAGCCGCTCAGATGCAACGTCAGAGACTCCGTGAAGTGACGGTGGCGGATCCAAGAAATAATATTAGGGGGTCAGTAAGAATGGTGCGCGCAACACGTAGATTTTTTTTACCAAAAATAGCATGCATATCGCCATTTCATCGAGTCTTGGTAGACCCAAAGTCATTTGGAAAGCCATATTGCACACCTGTTAATGTATGCAAGGTATTCATGGACATTCATTGGTTCTTGGTAGGCCTGAAGTCAATTGAAGGGCATGTATGAAGCCAACTCTAATCTTCAAAAGGGCAGCATCCAAAATATCCCTGGACATTCACCGAAGTTCGAAGGGTCAACATCCAAGGTATCCATAGATGTTCACCGAAGTTCAGGGGATCAGCTAACACCCCCGGGGGGCCCCTCAATGCATCCGCCACTGGTGGTGGCAGTGTGGCAGCGCCAGAATTCCGCAAGATAAATAAGAATGTGATGACCCCCAATGTTTTTCTGTTGAAAATATTGGATACCCTATGGATTTCAGAGGTCATTTTTCCAAGAGTTATTTCTGTCCTACCTTCTCTTCTTCATAAACATCTTCTGGGAAGAATTGACAATAGAATGGTGACTCGGACTCCTTATAAACCCAAACACGGTTTCTTAAACTTTCCGATGTAGAACAATTCTTAACATCTCCACGGGAATTTATACAGCTCCAATAAAGGAATAATACTAGGTACACCAAATGATGCGACATCAATCAAATTTGTTCGTTAGAATTTGATTAATAATTGTAATAAAAATTTATATGATGTAGAATGTGCGACATCATTTAGCGCATAAATTTAATGTACGTAGCACCACCCCGAATAAAACCTGAAAATGGCGCTTCGTGCCAACCCTCAACCCCTGATGTCAAAGAGTCATCACTTACCCTAACCAGATATATTTGTACTACGAGTTAGTTTACTAGAACCAGAACCCGAACCCGAACCCCAGCAAAGAACATGGTTTCCAAACGGCATGGGTTGCAGCAGGCAGAGAGAGACCATGAACACAACAATTTCGAAAACAACTCTAAAATTTTCTGGACAAGTCTTACAGACAATTGAGTAAAATGGTTCGACGAAAATTCCTAACGAGACTAATGTCACAAAGTGAAAAAAAAGGAAAGCACAAGCAGCTGGTGCATATAGATACAAATTTCAGAGTGGAGCTGATGATGTTCTCCGAAGCTGGTACTTTGGCTCCGGAGGCGGTGCACTGGGCAACACCTTCTCTAGCTCCTGCAACGACAGAAAGCAATACGAATAAGATATCTATTATATAAAAATAAACGATAATTTCTTTCGTTGCTAATTTAAAATTCAGAAAATTCCCAAGCCTGGTCTGCGAAATTTCTTTATTTTCAATTATATTTGAGTAATGGAGAAAGAGAAATGATATAGAAAATGATCGTTTAATCATGGCGTTATCTCAACGTCGTGCAAAGTCAAGAACAAACTAGGCAACAAGTTTTCTACCAGCTTGGAAAAATGGAAAGCAAGTTGAATGCAAAGTGTAGATAACAAAAGGAGGAAGTAGATCCTCCAAAACAACACTAGTCCAAACTACGGATGAAAATTAAAAACTGGGACATCTTAAGCAGCATTCTTTTAATTACATATGCGGGGGGAAACGAACATTTTATTAAGTAAAATGGCAGTGGACAAGAAGTCCACTTCAAACACAAGCGAGAAGTCCAACAAATGTAGCATTTGGCTTCCCAACTATCATTTTAAGGTACAATTCTGTTTGCACCATTGCTGCCCATTTTGAGTCCTCAATGAAGTTAAAGTTTCTCCACTCTCTCTTCTATAGTAATTTCTAGGAGGTAATTTGAGTTAACACGTGTCGGAATGGGTTGCATCACTAACAACTGGAACAGCAAGGCCCTAACATGTGGGTAATCCAGTCATATTTACAACTTAAAAATTGGTGGCATATCAATCCTTGCAATCTTGCACTTTCACCATAATACTTGGACATGAAATCTTTTTTATGGCCAAACTTTCAAAGAACCAAGTGCTCCTCATAGGGATATCACTAGAGATATTATTATGCTAAATGCTCAGACCCATTCCCCAAACCTAAAGAAAAGTAGAAAAATAAACCCACACACAATTCTACACCTCATCCACAATCTATCACCACTTTCCGAAAAATCATGCCATGTCCAACTTTGTCCTTGAACTTGAACATTCATTAGCAACTAGGAGTACCTGCTTGTCAACAAAAGCATTGAGGGAGCAGGAAACAATCCCAATATTCAAGGTGGAACTAGTAGTAAGAACATTCATCGGCTACTACACAAACTACTACCTAAACTTACAACGCTAAAACTCTAAACTACTAACTCTGGATCACAAGTCTTGAAAGCATGTAGAGTAAAAACATTGATAATAAGTCATAACATCACGGAAAATTCAATAGGGGTACCCAACAATTTACTCAGTATTTACCCACGCACCTTATTTTCCCGAAACTTCCTATCTTTACGATTTGTAAAAGCTTAAGAGAGCAAAAACGAAAAAAAACTTTTTTAAAAAATGAAAAGAAGTCTTCCCTGCCGGCTCCCCTGCCGTTGCAGGAAGGCACGCCGATACCAGAGCCGGCAGCAGAAGCAGTTTAGTTTTTGTTTTCCTGTAAAAAAAGATGATGTTCAGAGGGTGAACGGAGGTTTTGGAGTTTACATAATAGTAGGTCGGTATAGTATGCATTGTAGCATACCTATAGAATTTCTTTCTGTAAGCAAACTCTAATGTATGAGGAAAATAGCCATATACGGAAGCCATCCAGACAGAGAGTCTGATATATCTAAGCACAGGTAAAACTTCATCTAGACATTCAAAACTATCTCCTCAGTTAGCTAACTAATGGCCACATGTAAAAGAGGGGGTGAAAAGGGATGAGCCCCCAGCACCTTTAAGGTTGTATAATAGAACCAAAAAAAATGCGCAACCCATCATCACCAAACTGTAATGTATCAGCTATCATGACCCATAAACAGTGGTTTATATGGCAACCTGTGTGGACACCATGCTTGTCCATTACATTTGGCGTACCAAACTGTTGCATTTTATCATTTGTACTAGTCCGTAGTACAGGCCAAATACTGGTACCGGCCAGAATGAGTTTTTCTGGTATTTACTAGGTTCATAAAACTGAAAAATACAGTATTCCTGGTTCTTTCATGAGTTTTTCTTTTTGCTTCTTATGTTTCTAATTTGTTGTATATTGGATAATGCCCCTTAGCATTCTTCATTCCTTCTATAGAATTTTCTTAAGGAAAAAAGAATCATGTTTTTCAATCATGCAGCTACCAATCTGTAATATTATCAAACTCTAGCTACTAAATTACCAGTTAAACCTTTTATAGAATGGTTTTCAAACCTATCCTAATACCTACATCACTATTTCTCTACAATCAATGACTCTGCATCAGATTAATCTGATTTCAGCAGTATGCCAATATCCAAAATCAAGAAACATAATAATCATCCATTGCAACCATGAATTTATGTTAGCGGTGTCTGTGTGCGTTGGTCTCAATTACCTACAGGCTTGTATCTGAATAATTAAATTTGATGCAAAACAAACAACTTCCTACTACCAAATGAAAGAAAAGAAGCCAACTTAGATTATCTCTTTTCTAACAAGGAAATAAAATGTTTTACTAATTGCAGTTATACTGAAGCAAGCTACAATCATCAGTCAACAATTCAAGATGTATTAAAGAAATCAAATGATGCAAATACAAATATACAACAGACAAAAAGAAACCTGACCTTCTGTTTCCTTAGCCTTTCATTTTCCTCCTCCAGACGTGAAACTTTGTTCTCCAGTTCATTTGTATATGCCTGTTAACAGTTTACAAAATTCAGCTAAAATTGCAAAAAGAAAACCTTGTGGTGGACTTATAAACCAAAAGATAGGAAATATTGACCTGCTTCCTTGCTCGCGAACGCGCAGCAGATTCCCGGTTCTTTATCATTCTCTTTTGCCTTCGCTCAACAGTCTTCTCAACAATGTCCTCAGGGTTGCCCCTTTTCCTCCCAGGTGTCGGCGTATCTGATAGAGCACCCATTAAGGGTGAAGGCAATGGAACTTGGTTGTCAGGATACGGGACTTCCATCATAGCTCCAGCCCCTACGTGCATTGGCGGTGGTATAGGTTGGCTTGGCATGTATACCCCCATCATACTTTGTTGTGGATGCTGATATTGTGGTTGTGAGTACTGCATCCACTGACCTTGTGGAAACTGTGCTGCCACATTCGCATCAACCCCAACAAGAGGACCAGCACATTGTTTGTCCGAAGATGCTTCAGCTTCAGCAACAACTCCGGCTTTGACCAAGAAATCCTCCAAAGTCATCTCTCCCAAAGTCCGTTGTCGTTCTTGAGATTTCTTTTCTTCTTCGTCTTTGCTTTGTTGAATATCTCTCCAAACCTCATCGACTGTCTTCTTGCTCAATGCACTAGTTAATGACAGGCTTGCTTGACGCTGCAGTTGAGCTTGATTGACCAGTGTCGTGCCTTCAATATCTATGCCCATGGTCTGATTTGCTTCCACACTCCATACATTTTTTAGAAGCTCATCAAGGTTCATGCTGCTGAGTGGCTTCCCCAAGTCACCTAACTGATTCTGTACCTCATCCAATGTGAGACTGTACATTGAGTTTTGCCGTCCCAAAGGCTGAAACTGTGGCTGTTTGCAATTACCATCAGCCCCACCTTGAGATCCCATTGTCTGTATCCCCATTCA